TTTAATACATAAATTACAATTAGAAAGACTAGTAAATCCATTAAATTTTTTTTGGTTAACAAAGATTATTCCTAGCTAAGCTGTACATCACTTTATTTTTGTTTAACAAAGGAAACTGTCGTTACACGTAGCTAAGCTTTACATCAGAAGTCATGTTTGTATTACTTAAATATAAAAACATAGATAAATTACAAACTTATGGCATTTTCTTTTCTATTAAACAATTTTGCCTTCTTATAAATATTGTAACATTTGCAGTAGGTTGCTTTTTGTCCCGCAAAATGACTATATTAGCAAAAAGTATGGCACTTTTGCTTAGGCGGAGGGCAATATATTGAGAAATGAACACGTAAAGTTGTGAAAGGGCTGAGGAAAACAGAGCAACATTATTTCGAGAAAAGAAAACGCCATGATACAAACACAGAAGGTAGTTTAATATATTAACATTCGTTGTTGTTGCCGAACTTTTAACAAGTTTATGACATTTAACTAAAATCATGCCACCAGATTCACTAGTAGACAAAATTTTGATTCTTGTAAAAGTAAAAAAAAAATTAAGTTAGTGAAGTTGGGTGAAAATATTAAAAATGTTGCGCGTTTCCAAACTGCCAGAATTCGGTACACCTAAGAAAAGGTTCAAAAATAAAGTTCTTTGCTTTTCCGAGGATAGGGTACGTAATACGTGCATTTCGACGAGAAATTGCTGACGCAAAATATTTTTTAACCTCCAAAATATGTATCGTTATCCATGGAACAGGAAGGAGGTCGAGTTAAAATGATGGCGGTGGATTTTGCGCAAAAATACTGTGGATGGCGTAACCGGAGTTGGACTGATGAGGTTATTTCTTCTAGTGCGGCTGAAGGCCACCAACTCGGAAATAACAATGATAACAAAAATAAAGTATATTTGCACCATGATGCAATTCTTCACAGGTATTGTCTCCCCAGAGAGTTTTGCTCCACATCGAAATTTGTGCTCTTTTATTTTCTAAGTGTTGCGCGTAAAACTTCACACTTAAATTTAAGACATTCTTAACAAAAATTGAAACAAGTTTCGCCTATTTTTCTTTAGTTTATTTAATGTTTATTATTTTTTACGAATATGTAGCTCATTACTTAACAAAAACCATATACTACATCCAGATTTTAGACTTTGTGTAAAAATTATGAAAATTCTGCAAAATTTCAGCAAAATTTGTAACTTTCTAATCAG